TTAAATTGACTTCTGTATCCCTCTCTGTCCATGTGTTAAATGGAGGGGAAAAAAGACACCTTTTTGTCCCATTTGAAACAGACTACTAAAAATAAAAGTATCATGTAGTGAAACTAATTACCTCAGAAATCCCGAATCCAAATGACTTTGTCGATTTGCAAAGCCTTAGCACTTTCTGCCAACCATAATTGTGATAACAAAGAATGGCTGATATTGCGCTTTAATTGCCTCAAGTAACAATGCATACCCCAGTGATGGGTTGGCTCATTTGTCATGTTCATTGTGGTTCACTTGTCTCCCAAGATGCTCAGCTTCCTTGGAACCCTCTTCCATCAAGCATCAGCTACTGGCTGATTGCTTCCCACCACACGGTTCTGATTAGCTTTTTAGAGTCTGCTCCCCCTGCAGGCTCCCTTTCTTCCCTCCTGCTGGGGCAGGGGCAGGAGCAGGGGCAGGAGCATTGCCCTTCCTGCTGCCAGACAGTAAATCAGCCTGCTCAGCACCTAGGCAATCTCTGCTTCTGCACACAGGGTCCTGACTTCAGGAGTTCTGTGATTTAACTGTTTCGCTTGGCATGGCTCTTGGTTTTTCTTGATTCAAAACTTGATTTGTGGAAACATTTTGATGATTTGCATGGGCATAAAGAGTCTTTTCAGTAATTTCATTTTAGAAAAATCAACTTGTTGGGTTTTGTGACTGCTAGCCATAATTTCTAAGTACACACTTGGAGTGTATTTTAGAGACCAGAATAAAAAATTTGGCTTTTACAGTTAGAAATCTCCAGCATGATGGATCAGAAAACTATCTACCATGAGTAAAAATGACCTCTGTCTCTCAACAAACTCACCAAAGCCATAAAAACAGTAATTCTAAGGAGTTTCTTTGGTGGGTCATCTCTGGGAAAGCACTTGTCACTGACATGTCTGAGGAGGATGTACATTATAGCTGTCCAGAAACAGTCAGGATTGTGAGAGTCTTCTCAATCAAAAAGAATTAACCTAGTCGATGGCAGGGACTTTGCACACATTTATGAAACTGGATTTCCAGAGGGAAGGGGTGGAGAAATGGCTCATCAGATAAGAGCAATTGTTGCTGTTCTCAACCCAGTTAGGTTCTCAACCCAGGAAGTGTTTCACAACAACCATCTCGGGAAAGTTCCAGGATATCTGACTGCCTCTTGTCTCCTTAGACACAATGTAGCCCCATGGTACCCATCCATACTTTCAGGCAAACATCTGTTTGCATAAAGTAAACATAAATAATCTCAAAATTATTGTAGAGGCAAAGGCAGAAGGCTGGCGGACATGCTTGGGCTTTGCGATTAGTTTGGTGGCTAATTCTGACCTTTTGGACTATACATTTTTGCGATGTCCAGCTTTCTTCTCTGAGTTTTAGTTTTAGTTGTCTGTCAAGTCAAGGAACTCAAGGAAAAGGTTTGTAGGGCTAAGAGGAGGGAGAAAGCGGGGCGGTAAAGGGCGGTAAGGAGGTGAGAGTGGCGGTAGGTGTGGTATCCCTCGTGTACGTGTATGAAACTGTCAGAGCACCAATTTATTTCATTGCTAACACATTTATTGGCCAGGCGGTGATGGCACACGCCTTTAATCCCAGCACTCAGGAGGCAGAGACAGGCCAATCTCCGTGAGTTCGAGGCCAGCCTAGCCTACAGAGCTATTTAAGAAAGAAAAGAAAAACTTATTTAACAAAGGTTAAAATGGATCAGTTCCAATAGATTTACATGTAGCTATTTTCTTTCTTTCTTTTTTTTTTTTTTTTTTTTTGGCTGCTTAGTCAATAAGTTTAAGTTTATTATCTTTATGGAAAATCTTCATAGAAAATTGTTTTAGCTCTTAGCAGCCCGTTCCTGAGCTCTGAGGAAGCTTGCCTTCTTTTGAGCAACCCGATCTTTCTTCTGGGCCAAAGACATTTGGGACGGTTCCACCTCTTTTTCTTCACCTTGCTCTTGGGCTTCTTCTCATAGACGGGATTCTCTCGGATAGCAGCATGAGCTTTCTTATACATCTCCTCCATCATGTCTGGAGTAACGTTGTTCTTGATGTACTGGGAGAACTGTTTCTTGTGAGCATCTTCATCTCCCTCCATTAGGTAACATATGTAGTCTGTGACATTCTGTCCCATGATGTGTTTCCGATATATTTCTGCATTGAACTCTTTACTTTCAGGATCATAACCAGGGAATCATTTGGTACTGTGAGGGATAGACAAGCCTCCATCCACAGCTCCCTCCAGGGCCCCAAAGACTTTATTGCCAGTTGTGGTTCGGGCAAGACCTGCGTCCAAATAGCAAGTGAAGGCACCAGGCTGACCATCAATGCTCTCCACATTGTACTCATCTCCAGTCACCTCCACTTGGCCTTCATAGATCTTGTCCGTACCAAACCTATTGAGAAGCCTGCAGGCCAGTACAATAGGCTGCAGCATAATTTGTCAGGCCAACTTTCACACCATATTTTGGCAGCTCGTGTGCATATGCTGCACAGACTATCATGTCCCCTTCTATACGGGCATTGCAATCTGGCAGACGATATCTCTGTTAGTTACACGAACTATCATTCTGTATTTGGGTGTGTTGTACTTATTTTTATCCTGCATCACCAATCGTTTCCGAGCATAGTAGTCAGTTTTACCCTCTCGCCGCCTTCTAAATCTCACTTGGTACCTCTTAAAGTAGGCCTTGTTCTCGACAACTTTCACGAACCCCATCCTGCGGAACAGACACCCGCAACCGCGGCTCCACACAGACCTGCGGGCCCGGCGGCGCTAGGGGGGAAAAACACATGTAGCTATTTTCATATCACAGAAAATTATTTGAAGATAAACACTTATATATTTAAATCAAGGTGTGTTCTATAGGAAACAGACTATTTCTCCATGCTACTTTAAATGTTTTTTTAAAAATATTATCTTTATTTGTTCTTTGAGAATTTTGTAGGATTAGCTTTGACCCTATTGATAATACCCCCAGCTCCTTCCAGATCCACTCCTGCTTCTCTACCCATCCAGTTCCTTGTTCTCTCTCTTGCCCATATATTCTTGGATGTGTGTCCTTCTACCCAGAATGTGTGGTCAGCTTACCAGTGGCAGCACTCTTAAAGAAAACTGACAGTTACCCGGAAGCTACCAATTGCCAGTCAGTCCTTGGATAGCCCTGAGATTTCATGTCATCCTGCTCTCCCTATGCTTGGATTTTCTATGGCTTGACCTTGGACTGTGTTGTGCATGCTGCCATAACTACAGTGAGTTCATATGAAGAGTTGCCTTGTTTTAAACCTATGTTCTGCTTCTAAAATTAAAGTAAAAATAATCGTGATATTGTAAGAAACAGATATAAAAGGAAAAGGATAAGTGATTACAAAAAGGAAAGCAAACAACAACAGCAATAGCAAAACCCACCAAAGTATAAAACCAACATATTGGAGCAGTATCTTCCTACAATCCTGCCAGGGTGGTTGGTTGAAACTAGAGACTCGCCTTTATGATCCTGCTCAAACTGGTGCTGCACCTGGAGCGACCTGAAGTCGCCCGTTCAACACCACAGCTTCCCTTCTTTGCAGACCAGGAGTTCCCCGGAGCATCCTTAGCTGTGCGGCATCTCTCACTCCAGATACTGCACATCTGCATGGTCTAAGGCGAGGGGCGTTTCCCAAGTGTGCTGTGGGAGCGGAAGCAGGTAGAGCACTGAGTATCATTGCTGCATTGTGCTACAGCTTCCTGGCTCTGCTCAGTACTGAACACCCTGCAGGAGGGAGAAGATTGCAGTGGGTGTCTACAGCCTGAGTCTTAGGCTGGCACAGTTATTTAGCCCATTGCCATCACCAAAGGCATCACCAAGCCCAGAATCCAGCTTCCTGAGCCTCAGTATGTGTGTGTCTAGCACCCGCTCCCCCACCCCCAACCTGTTACTGCCTCTTGCCACCCACTTCTCCCTAGAGGCTCTGGCAGGTTCACTCCAGAATCCTTGACTTCTCGGGCTCCCAGGGAAGCTGTCTGTAATAGTCTCCTCTCAAGACAGCACTAGACCACACCTTCTCCGACATAGACTAACACACACCTGAAACCACTGTCTGTCGATCCTTCCACTATACTCACGCTCTTACCTTGGTTCCAGATGGCCCTGGTGTTTCTCTCTTCTCAGCCAGCTGCTCTGCCCCAACTCTGTGTTCTGAAGTTCTTGCTCTCTTTGGGACAGGGTTCATTCCCTTTTTGCACTATAGGGAGGCAGCGTCTGCTCTGCCATCTTGCCCCAGAAGTCAAGTTAGTTATTTTAGAAGACTCTGTAACTTGATGGCAATCTTTCTTTTAGTCTCATTTTACTAAAAACTCAGTTGGAGATTTTATGGGTGCAATATGTCATCAGTGCTTTTATTTGCAGTTGATTTTATCTGGAAGTATTTACACTCACACTGCTTGGAGGTTTTCATCAACTTAAGCAAGGAGGTGACATTCAAAATGAATTAAATTGGCCAAAGGTCACATAATCTATTGACTGTTGGAGGAATGGGGGTGCATTTTAATCTTCCAAGGATTCTTACGGACCTTATTTTAAAATGTCCTTAGGTTTGATTATACAAAGTAAAAGGAAGATGTTTATTGAAGAAAAAATCCAAGCACTGGGACAATAAGGAAGCCGAGGACTCCTTTTTGTAATTGTAGTTCTGTCATGTTAGAATATGTAAGTCAGTAATCACATGCTGGAAGACTTGTGCTCTCCATTGACCATCACACATGCTGTGATATGGGTGTATTCTATGCAACACGGCTTTCCCCAGTCAAATGCCAGAGTACACCGAATCACTCACGTATGCAATCACTATAAACCCAATCCTTCCAATTCACGGGGTCAAAATATTAAGATCCAATATGAAATCATTGATATTATTAGCTTTAGACATATTTTAAAGATGCCTCTTAAATTTTAATATATTGAAAATATTCATTGTAAACATCAGTTTTATAATTGTTTTTCTTCTTTGCAATTTCAGGGTCAGCCTGGCCCCCAGGTAAGTGATCTCTTTTCTGGCCAACTAACTCCAGTTTAGTTTTCCTCATGGGGAAATTGTTCTTCAATTATTTTCAAAGCTATGAACTGATAATCGTGTGGCTACCTAGTACGCCAGCTATTGCCCAGGAGTGACATTTGGGGCCTCTTTGGGGCTGAGTGAGCCACTTTACCTGTTGGGCCAGATGGCAAATTAACAATATGCCCTCTCACTGAGTAAAACTCTTACCTGACCCAAACCAGTGCCCCAGGACTTCAAAGGCAGAGTGACTCGGTCCCTATAGGCGTGGGCTGGCGAGCGTTAGGCATTGACTATTGGAGTACTAATGCAGCCATGAATCCAGTCTCATTATGTACACTGTGATCCCGCTAGCTGCTTCTGATTTGGTGTAGATGGATGCTGACTCTGTTCTCGACTTTCAACACAAACCAACAGCTGCAGACATGATTTATAAGTAAGCGCAAATGCAGCCGACAGACAGTATTTCAAACTCCGCGTCATATGGAAGAAAGTGAACCATTTTTAAGAGGTGGAGGAATGTGTATAAAGATACAATTACAGAGATGAATCAAGTTCTCACAAATAGTGTAGCGAATTTAAACTCAAAAGGTTCTGTAGGATGCTAATGGCCACTGAGATGAGGAGAGGCAGCTTACTGATGCTTTGCCTTAAACACTGCATTCCATGTAACAATGCAATTACTTGTGTTCCCCTTGATCTTTTTTCACCATGATGGGCTGAATGCCACGTCTGCCCTAGTTTGTTAACCGATAGGCCATTCTGTGATAGCTTTGTAGTCAGTGTCACAAATTATTTATTACATGTTAACCTTCATTGTATAAGTATGACCATTATTTATAGGTGTTCTGAGCTCCGTATGTAAGGTTGTGTAGTAATACAAACAGAAAACCACATTTATTACAGTACGGCACTCCTTTTCACACTAAGTAGTAAGAAAAAATGAGACCTTTAATTTACAGTGACACTGAAAACCCCCTTATTGTTTGTAGCTTTCCCTCTTGTAGCCCAAGTTAGTTCAAGGTAACAGAATAAATTCATAGAAGAGAGTTTTGGCTTCTTACACTTTGAACTTGCTATTCTATCTTGGGAAGGATATGAAGTAAACAGTGGTTTACTGCTTTTCATACTTTGTTTCAGAACAATAGTTCTGAAAAGGGCATGAATGCCTGGGTTTGTCTGTGCACTCCTGCACCCACGGGCGCCCGCGCGCGCGCGCGCACACACACACACACACACACACACACACACACACACATGCTGGTGTTCATGGTAAATTACTTACCTGGATGATGCAACAGTGTGACTGGAGTAGAAATCAAGACTGCTTCTAAATCTGGAAGCCCCATATCATTCAATTCTTTCCAGAAAGGAGGGTAACATAGCATACTGAAATGAGCTTTGATTTAGGGAGAAAATAATAATTTAACTCTTAATAGGACCTGTGACTTAGTCCAGGCCACCTTTCCTGGCATCAAAAAGCAGTTCTTAAGATAATTTGTGGATATAAATATTTGAAAAGTGACCTAGGATACATCATGAGGGCATTGTGTAAGACACTGGGGTAGTAGGAGAGCAGGAAATAGATGTCTGTGAGCAGATGACTTCTATGGGTGAAAGACGCTGTTTCCTGCTGAATATTTTATAGAGGGACAATGTAGAGATTCCTCAGAACCCTCACACAGAGGAACAGGAAGCTGGCGTGATTAGCTTGTATTTCTTCACTCTTGAGTCATCTCTGGGTGCTGATGCCAATGCCTCTGATCTGCTTCAGAAGGTCTTGTGTATGGACTGGGTAGGACCCCTATTCTAGCACTAGGGCTGTGAAATTGTGGTGAATGAGACAGGTGCAGTCTCTGTTTTGTGATTATTCTGTGCTTTATTTTTCACTTAAAAATTATACATACCTATTGCATTAGAATGTGATAATATATTAATATAAACATTAACATGTTTTATTGATAATGTTGACTACATGTAAGGTATAAAACTTGAGTTCATATGCATATACCTTGTTTAACTATTACAAATAAATTACCTGCCTCTCCCTAAATTGTGTAATATTAGAGCCTCAGAACTTGTCATTTGATCACTGATTGATTGTCTTTCTTCAGCATGTCTCTATTTCAGCTGAACCTGTTTTATGTTTCTGTTAAGTCCAGCTTTTAAAAATTCTAAAACCAAGTGGAAATCATCATATACCATTCACCTTTCTCTGTCTGGTTCATTTCACTAGTATAGTGTCCTACAAATTAATCCATGTTATTACAATGGGAAAATAGCTTCCTTTTTCAGATAGATAATACTCTGTCATATATCTACTTACCATAGTCTTCCATTCATCCATTAAGATACTCAGGCCGATTCCATGTTTCCTGTTTCAAGTGGATTCCACACATGTGTGATCATAAGATATTTCTGTCTGGGCGTGGCTTATTTCATTGAACACTGAGTCCTCTGGGTTCATTCATATTGTTGGAAATGGTGGGGCTTCATTTCTGTGGCTGAGTAAATAATCCATTGTGTGCATAACCCATTTATTTTCCATCCATTCACTGATGGACATTGACTGGTCCCAGGTCTTGGTTGCTATATAAACTTGAAAGTGTAGAGATCTCAACATGCAAGACTATATGGTAATTCTATTTTTAGATTTTGAAGGACTGAGATACTGTTTTATGTAATAAATGTCCTGCTTTGCATCCCTAACAACAATGGAATAATTCACTTTTCTCCAGATCTTCACTGAAAGTTCTCTCTTGCCTTTTTGATTGTATCTATCCTAACAAGTGGAGGACATAAGATCTTATTATTATTATAATTTCATTTGCATTTGCCTGATTAATGATACCAAACACTTCTTCATCAACCCATTTCCCATTTGTATATCTTCCTTGGGAAACCTGTCAGTAAGGTGTGAAGGTTCTTAAATGCCCAGCACTCCTGAGGATGATCTTGTCCCCGCCTGTGAGTGCCTCTCTACATCTGAGTAACCCACACTCAATCTGTAGCTCAGGCATGTGGTATTTAGAGAGACTTGATATGCCCTCCCCTGCAGATGTTCTAAGTATGGCCCTAGCATGATGGACCTTAGTTTGAATAGTAGGTTTCTGTGCAGGTCTTGGTTCCTCTGTTCTTGTTAATCATTTGCTGACTCCTACCCCCACTCCCTGTCTATGTAGTTCTTCTTGTCCCAGCCCCCCCCCCATTTCTACCTCCTGCCTGATGTCAGAGTATAAACAGGAGCATGGACCTGTACTGTGATGACTTTGCTGATGTCTGGTGGGTGACTAAATCTCTTTCGCTCACAACATCCCTGGCAGGATTCCAGCTTCCTCCTGCGTCTGTCCCAGCATCCCACTGCCATTCTTCATATTGATGTTCTAGGCAGGCAGGTCCACAGGGTGAATGTCTGTCTTTTCTCTGACAAATGGGAGCATTCGGGGTTACATTGAGAGGAATCAATGGGTATCTATGACCTGTGTTAACAAGATTAAAATTTTCCACCATGGTTTTGATAGTGTCCATTTCCTGATGCCGAACATTTGAGTCTTGATGTGTTCTCTGTCTAGAGTATGACAGAATCTCCTGATCTTGGCCTTTGTCTCACCTGTCACTGATTTTTTTTAATTAAAGTTCTTTATGGACTTTATGCTTTGTCCAAACCAAATTGAACCATTTAGATGTTCTCTTCTAAGTGTTTTTGATTTTTCCTTTCCTTGGGACTGCTTTCTCTTAGACAACATGTCTACACATCCAAGCACAATCACCCATCACATTGTAATACTGTTTCTTCAACAAGATGCTCTTCCTCTCCTTTAGTAAAGGAATTTTCTTCCCTTCCAAGATTCCCACAGGTGGTTATCTATGCAGCTTGTTATATTACATCATGCTTAAAGGAGAGTGTGTTGGACTTGAATCAGACAGGTTCAAAACCAATCTAGGCTGTGTCACTTTTAGCCTCCACCTCTGGGATGAATTACTCCTTCACTCTGGGTAGCACTATCCATATATGTAAAGCAATGTCCTTTCTTAAAACTTGTTGTAAAAGTTAAAGTATTGTGCGTGAAATGTGATGCCTGTACATGGTAAGCACTCAGGAAAAATGAACTCTGTTATTCTCTTTGGGTCATTGTAGTTATTTCCAAGCATCTTTCCCCTTAAAATTTTTTTTTATCTTATGCATATGGGTGTTTTACCTGCTTGTTTTTTTGTGTACCATTTGCATTCCTAGTGCCCACAGAGGCCAGTAGAGGGTGTCTGATTCCCTGGAACTAGATTTACAGATGATGGGCATCTGTCACATGGATCTTGGGAATTGAACTCTGGTCTTCAGGAAGAGCAGCCGGTGCTCTTAACTGCCTGCCACACCATCTCTCTAGTCCTCTTTTCTGGCCCTTAACAGATTTTCCAATCTTTAATGCAGGATCTGTGCTTTCTTTCGTCTTTACTCTCCTCTACATCTGACTGACGTTGTTGTACATATAGAGATTTATTTGTAGGGTTCAAAACTTTGTGTTTGATGTTCCCAATCAAAACTATTATAGAAAGTAATACATTGCCAAAGATTAGTATCGATTCACGAAAATGCAATAAACACAAAAAAAGCATACAAATTGCTTTAAGAATATTCTCAGGACTCTATCTTTTCCTCTTTACAAAACACATCAAATTTTTATGTAGCCCCCGTGTCCCTGTATGTCTTTAGAAATGAGGAGATAACCCTTCCACCCTAAGGCCATTTTCCTACGTGTCATTTTTTGGAGCCTCAGAGCCCTCCTCATAACTCTTCTTTGGAGTTGCATGTGAACATAAAGCAGCTATAATTCCCTAAGGAATTTTGAGTACTAAAGTGGTGTGCATGTTGTAATTCTGTATTACCCAGTGAGAAAAAAATGTAAGAGCAAACCACAAGCAAATGCCATCACACAACTGTGCGTGGAGGCGAGCAGCTCCCATTTGTGTTTGTAGATACACTTGGA